GGCCTAGACCCTTCATCAGAAAAGGATGAAGGGTCTAGGCCCGAAACGTCAGCCTCTCTGCTCCTATGATGCTGCTTGGCCTGCTGTGTTCATCCAGCCCTGCACCTTGTTGTCTCAGCAAATGGATGTGACCTGTTTTCAGTTGAAACAGGCTCAGTGCATGTCTATTAATATGTATAGCGTCTGGTACACACAAGTCCACTTACCAGACCATCAGTGCTCTTGTCTGACACAATATAAATGATTTTTCCCGTTATTGGTATTCATGCGAATTATCCTGATGAGTACAATTCGAAACCTTTGACAGAATTTTTTTTCAGCAATGTTCAATAAAGTTTCTAAGTCGTCAACTCCATGTAGAGTTCCTGTTGCCCCATGTTCATTGCAACCTTTCTCCCCATAGGGCCATGTTCTATTGCTTTTAATCAAGAGAGTTGAAGATAGATTGACCTAGAGCTCCAAATATATCATGGATATTACTAGAGTATAATCAGCTGAAAGTTTGCAGTTCACCATTCTAGGCACTGATAAGCTTTCAGCCACTAGGCCATCCAGAGACTCAGCCCACTGGGCTCAAATAAAATATAATTGCTGTGGATTGCTCAAGCATTTGTTCAACAGATTTGCTCCTCATTCTGAACTTGTGCTTTTGGGTTGGTCGTCTTTAAACTGCCTTAGAACCAAAGAAACCTTATTTATCTCTCTTAATGTGGCTTCTCTGGTCTCTTCCATTAACAATTTTGCTGTTCTATATCTGCAACTTCAAACAGGGAAAACATCACAACAATTTAAATTAAACCATTTTGCACATAAAATTATATACTTTAGACATTTGACGTCCATTCACAATTGTAACTTGTTCAGCTTGTGCTTTCATGGTTAAATTGGTTTTTGCTTATAATGTCCATGCAAACCTTGGCTACAGCATTTGTATTATTTCAGGTAATGAAGGTAGCGCTCTACAGCTTTGTTTTATTTAAATAACCAGCTGATCCTCTGCCCACCTCAATTTAACTTCTATTCTTCTCCCACTTAAGGTTGTTCATTGAGCGAGGCCAGTGTGGAGCATTACAATGAGAGGAAGAGTGAGTTGAGTTAGCAATGGCAAAGTGCTTCTGATGACAGCTATCAGTTTTGTGTTCTGATTGGATGATGGGGAAAGCAGGACTGACCCTGTTAGTTTTAATTTCCTGAAGTATTCCATTGCTCAGTTTTACCCTAGCCATTAGCCTGGTTCACAAATGATGTCCATCCCCCCGTTTGAAGCTATCATTGATGTCAGGATTTACACTGACCTCCTGATTCATAGTAAAATACTGAGTGTGGCAACTTCCAGACTACTAGATAAGTAACAGAAGTGTATTTAGTATATTATTTTACATTTATTTATTAAGCTTGATATATGTTTGGTGGTATATGTGACCAATTTTAAGTTTCATTATATTTCACAATATTAAAGGACAGGGATGCTGAAAGCACATCAAGTGACGACTAAGAACCTGAGCCTAGCAGTGTCAGACTGTTTCTGGAAAATGGTGCGCGAGTCTGTGGAACAGCAGGCTGATGCATTTAAAGGTAAATATGCATTAATGTTACATTCTGGTTTTTAATCAAACTCATAACAAAACAGGAGTACAGTTTGAATATTTATTCTGAGCATTTGAAGTTGAAAATATCTTAGGTTTGTTCTGTTATGTGAGTAGTTTACTTGCAGTTGTAATACGAAAGGGAAGTTATCAAGTTCTTTTGTAGTTGAAATATTCTGGTGAAATTGGTCAAATAACCAGAAATTGAAGAATTACTTGTTTTTTTTTTCTGCGTTCAGATTTTAGGTGGTAAAGTGAAAGTTTATAAACTAAGATGATTCTTTTTTGTCCTGTTGGAAACAATGATTTTTACTGTCATTATGTTGTGGAAAAGAAGAATCCAGATTTACTGATCTAAATCTTTCTTATTACATTATTGTTACAACTTGAGCATAATCCTATTTCTAATAAGCAGGAGGAAGATCTGTGTTTGCCTTTTGTTTTGTGTAGCCTGCCCTGGCCATGCTAGCTGTCTGTGAAAGCAACTCACCTATTTCCCTTGGACTGCGTTTTCCCTTTTGCCTCTCAAATGAGCAATCTTCATATAATTTTCCAAATATTTTCTAAAAGCCACAATTGAATCTACCTTCACCATACTCTCACTTTTATGGGCTGGATTAGTTGAGCCTTGAGCCACTAAAGTTGATCACAGATTTATTTTTCTATGTGGAAATAAACTAAAGAGGCAAAAATGCATTCAGTAACACAACACATTACTGAGTTGAAACAAGCTGTTTGTCATTCTGTGATGTCATGTATCTTTGTAGCTATGACCACATTTACAAGCACCAATGTTAAACCTCTACTGTTTTATAATGTACATAACCACCTTGGGGGGTGGGGTTGGTTTAATTGTATCCAAGCTTGGAGATTTACTAAGGATCTCTGAAATATATTGAATGCACAACAGAAGGTTACAATAAGGAATTGATTTGTCAGGGCTCTGTTACTTTCATAATGACAAGGAGATAGCTGAAGCATTTTTATTTAATACTGTGAATAAAATAATTCCCTAAATTGTTGGAGATGGTTTGATATCCAAAAATGGTTTCCTGTTCTTCTGTGCGCTGAGAAAAGCCAAAACAGAATGCATGCATATATGCTACCACCTACCAATCCAAAATGACACCCTGCCCTTGGCACTTGGCATCCTATTCTCCCTTTCTTAACTGGCACCCTATTATTACACTTGCCTAATGTGCTTACTGTTTGACAATGTGGCTGTGAAGACCCTTAAATTTCAGAATACGGCATTTGGCTGCTGTGAAAACAGGGTGTGATTTACCTTCCTCTGACAATTCTGTGTTATGAGAAAACTGTCAGCATGGAAGTACGTCTGCAAGTTGGAGGGAGACCTGAGTGGAATCTCCTGTTAGAAATGTGGGGCTCCCTACGTAAAAAAGGAGGGCTGGAGAGGCAATCTGTATGAGATAGACACTCTTTGGAATATCTTTCCCAACATCTGTCCCAATAGATTTCAAGGAGATGATTAGGATGTGTGCAATGATCTAAATTTTTGAGTACATTATTTACAGGTGATGATTGAAAGACATGGTGACTAACTCTGCAGTTTTGACCAATTGTGATGTGCCATTCATCTTAGCTGCTTAAAGTCTAAAGAATACCAGTGTTTGTGGATAAAATGACTTGAAGTTGGCACCGAGGAATTTCATGATATGCCAGAAAGTGAAGTTAGGCCAAAGAAATTTGGTATCGTATTATATGATACTGCAAAATCAGCCCTAAGTAATGTAGAGCAATGAAAAGTGTCAGAAAGAGGGCTTTATCTTTTACCTTGGGATACATCTGTTTGCTTATCATTTCTGTGCATGGAGTTTTGTCTCACAATCAAGCCTTGGTCAGAATTCAACAGGGTATATAAGTTCAGCAGAAATTAAGCACCTTCTGCACAATGAGAAATGAAACCTCCTGCAAGTTCAATAACTTTTGATGTGACAGATCCCAGGTGGACTTGCTTTTTAGTGGTCAGTATTTTTTGTGATAAGTTAATGGTTGTTTTGCAGTGTGTTCTTCTATAATAGAATTTGTCAATATCAAGTCACTGCAATGAGCTATGATTTAAGGGCAATTAAATATCACAGGCTTTCTGATGGGCAGCTCTACTTGGCAACAAAATGTTTTTTATGTAACTGTTTTATACAAAATAATTTAGTAATTCATGCCTTGTGTCTTACATGCTTTGTGTATCATGAAGGACTTTGAAGTAAAGAAATTATTGTAGCTAAGTGTAATCCTCTCTCACTACACAGCAAGATTTCATCAGTGATCAGATGTGAATGCTGAATTCATCTGTTTTCACCATGTTGATTGGAGTTATATTGGTTGAGGCAAGAGGAATGGCCTACTGTTCTTTAAGTGCGATATTGAATCTTCTGTTGTTCACCATTGGTTTAACTGTACCTTCGACTTTGCAGTTCACCTTCTGTCCTTTCCTGGCGTGACAACCTAGCTATCTGCTTAAGTCTTAGACTTCATTCACGTATTTAACTCTCTGACTCAGAAGCTAAGAATGCTGCCAACTGAGCTCAACTGAAATATCTATAATGACCCACTATTTGTAATAATCCAGATTGTCTGTTGGTTTGCTGAAAAGAAATTCAGAGTTGATAGTCTTTTGTTCAGAAAGTTCATACTGTGCTCTTGAGAGGGCTATTACAGAATTGCAACTGTTGGACTTTTGTTTTATTTTTGAAGAGCTATTCGTGCAATGTTTATTGTTGGGATAGTATCACAGCAGTGACAATTATGAACATCTCAGGAGAAAGCACAAAAATAGCATGTTAAAGTAAGAATGCAGCCTTACATGAATTCAGTTGAGTTTTTGGATCACAATAAATAATTGTAGTCACCAGATTTTAAAGAGCTATCAGATGAAAGTCCGAATATGTAGAATATTGCAGATAATTGTTTTGGAACATTCCAGTATAATAAGTATTCAGTCAGAGTGAGGATACAGAAGACCATTGACCATTTTAGATTTAGCATGGCGATTGCCACGGAGGAAAGTAACCTTCTTTCTCTCAATTGTCAATTTTTGGGCCCTATTTAATTAAGATGTATATTAAAGTAATGGTGTTAGACTGATTACACAGGTGTACTTCACTGTTCAAATAATTTCATTACATTTAACTTAGAGTTTGAATATGCATTGCAATTAATTTCTTTTATTTTTCTTATTTTAGCTACTCGATTCAACCTTGAAACTGAATGGAAGAACAACTATCCTCGGCTGAGGGAACTAGATAGGGTAACCTTTAATTCTCAGTGAATCACAGTGGGTATTTGTGATTTCATTATTCTTTCTAACTTGATTTTTTTTTAATCTTAGAATGAACTGTACGAAAAAGCGAAGAATGAGATTCTGGACGAAGTGATCAGCTTAAGTCAGGTTACTCCCAAACACTGGTAATGCTATTTTGCTTTTTAAGGAAATGCAATTCAACTGGAATGTTGATAATTAAAGTAAAGATGAATAATTTTACATTACAACTGTCAGTGTCAGACTGTTACCTGTGTAAAGTAATGCTTGGTAAAGATATCTTGCTGACTGCATTGCTATGGATTGTAGTAAACCCAGCAACAAAGCTTCACTGTCCAAGAAGCCAATCCTTTAATGTTACAAGAGAGGGCACAGAAACATCTTAAAATTAAACTGTTAGAAATAAGGTCTATCATGGTCCTGGGTTGGAAGTCTCAACCCTGTTCACATATGTTCAGGAATCCAATTCTGATTTGGGCAAAATTCCCTGGGTGGCCTTCCAGCTGCCTGCCTCCCACCTGTCTACAGTTTTAAGTGGTACAGGCATACCACCAATTATCAGCCACATTTAGGGTCTCAATCCCTGGCCTCCGATCAGAGGCTGGCAGGAGGTATTCAGAGGCACAGGGGATCCTGGTAGATCACTCACCTCAGGATGGGAGTAGTGGGTAGGGGGTGAGGGTTTCTCCCTCAAGTTCTCTTGGCACATGAGGTGCTCCACCCTCCAAGGTCTGCTCCCACAAACCATGGCCATTCCATCAAGACCTCTGATCTGTCTTGCCATGACCCTCAGCCCTAGCCTCTTCTCCCAACTGTGCGACCTCCTGTATTTCCCTGCTCCTGGGCTCCAGGACTTAAATCTGAAGGCTGTTTGCTGTCCCAGTTCCTGCCATTGCTGCCCTGCCACTGCTGGGACTACAGAACGTAGGTCAATCAGATTAGCCATCTCCTGTCTGATGTGACAATTTCTCCTGACTATGTGCTGCAAGTTCTGTCTCTGGCAAATTACGACTCCTCGGAAGGATTCCCTGCCAACTCTTCAGCTTGCAAAGCATGCATATTCTGTGTTTTACTGCTTCTTCTGCGTTTCTAGAACCACTTTGAATACATAAAAATCTAGAAACGTTGCTCCGTTATCAGCGTGACAAAGGCCAGCAGAGAAATTGTTTTCTGAAAAGCTTTTACTTTCGGAAGAAATAGCCAAACTTGCAATGGTGTATTCAGATACTGTCTAACAATCAATGTTATAGAATTATATATGTGAACGAAACTTTTGCAAGCAAATTAGTTGTAGGCTTAATTTCCTTTTGTAACTTCCAAAATTTGAGGAGAGGAACATGAGAATTGTTGAATGAAATTGTTTTCCTCTTTTCATCCTGTAGTAGGTTCCATACTTCTGTACCTTAAAAACTGCACCTTGCAAGCATAGGGAAATATTCCCCACACACTTCAACGTGTGTTAAGCTTAACTTTTGAGGATCACCATTGGTGCAAACGTATAATATTTCCATTCATCATAATCTTTGGACCTTCTTTGGACTTCGACAACTTTTTTATACTTTACATGGTTAAGCTGGCAGCACATCTGTGATACACCATAACGCACCTTATCCTTCACGTCCTTAACTAGCTTAATTTTCATATACTGAAAAAAACATTGTCCCAAATGTTATCAAAGAATAATTTGCTTGACCTGCTGTTCTGTTTCTTTTTATGGAAGGTGCTGTATTAAATCTTTCCTTCTCCCCATAACCCTACAACGTTAAATCGTAATGCCTGTATTCATGTTGTACTTTACCATGTTTGTTTTCAAATACAATATCTCAAAGTACGTCATACACAGATGATTTCTAACATCTCTTTCTTGCGCCAGTGGTCAGTTAATTCACTTGATTTATTGTTTGAGGGAAGAATTGTGGCTCGTACCTTGAAGAACTCCTTGTTCTTTAAATAATGTAGTTGTGTCTAGATATCCATCTCATTAGGGAGATTTAACATTTCATTAGAAAATCAGTATTTCTGGTAAAGCAACTTTTTGACTGTGGTGCAGCTGTGTCAACTTAGATTAGCTCAGTGCAGGTGTGGTGTTTCTAATCGAAGTGTGACTAACTGATTACTTCAAAATTTTGATTGGTGCATTAATTGAAGTCCATTTGAAGAGGCATTAAAATTTCTGCATTTATTGGATTTGAAGCACTTTACTGATCCACTTAAATGAGAAAGACCACAGAAAGCACAGCGATGGAGTGGCAGGGTGGCTCAAATGGTTAGCACTGCTGCCCCTCAGTGTCAGGGACCCAGGTTCAGTTCCACTCTCGGGTAACTGTGTGGAGTTTTCACAATCTCCCTGTGTCTGCGTGGGTTTCCTCTGGGTGCTCTGGTTCTTCCCACAGTCCGAAGATTTGCAGGTAAGGTGGTCTGGCCATGCTAAATTGCCTGTAGTGTCCAGGGATGTGCAGGCTAGGTGAGTTACAGGGGTAGGGTGGGGGTGTGGGTCTGAGTGCGATGCTGTTCGGAGGGTCAGTGTGAAAACAGGAAGCTCTTGCTAAAACTATTACAAGGTACGACTCAGACCACATCCAGAATACTATGAAACATTTTGGTATCATTATCTAAGGAAAGGCGTGATGGCATTGCAGGCAATCCACTGAAGGTTCACGTGGTAGATTTTGGGTTTGGGGGCATTTTCTTGTAAGTAGAAGTTAAGTAGGTTGGGCTGGTTCCCATTGGAGTTTAGGATAATGTGTGGAAACCTTATTGAAACATATGAAATTCTTTTTGGGGCTTGACTGGGTAGATGAGAATAAGTTATTTCCTCTTGTGGGAGACTCTGGGACCAGAAGGTATAATCTCAGAGTAGGGGATTACCATTTGGAACAGTGATGAGAATTTTTTCACTGAGGGTTGTCAATTTGAGGAATTTATTCACTAGAGGTGGCTGCAGAGGCAGAGTCATCAAGTGTCTTCAATGCTGAAATAGTCATATTATTAAATCAGTAAGGGAATCAAGGGTTATCAAGATAAGACCGGAAAGTGGAGTTAAGAATTATCAGATTTATCATGATCTCTTTGAATTGCAGAGCAGACTCAATGAACTGTGTAGCCTATTTCTGCTCCTGTGTCTTATGGTCTATGGATCTTGAGGTGAATGTTTTATTTCCTAAATAAAGTTAGTCATATAATCAGCAAGTGAATTGGTAGAGGAAGTTTGCCGTCTTGAAAAAAGTAGCATATCATTGTAGTTTGTCTTTGAAATGTAATATTTTTTGTACTTAAATGAATTGTCCAATGATTTCTGTTAAGCAGAATAAATAACGCAGTGACTTGAGAATTTACCGCTTAAAGTTTAAATTATTTTGTTTTAAGCAACTTTGAATTAAGAGTTGTGTTTAGATGTGATTGTACTTCAATATGAGAAAGCATTTTAATTTAACCCATACTAGTTAGACTGTGGAAAAATTTCTTTTTTCATTATTTTGTGCTATTGAGTACCAGAAGATTGCATCAGAAGACATAACTCGATTTGAGTAATGCTGGTTCTCTTGTTTTGTGAAAGGTTACCCCATTTTAGTGTTTCTTCTGAAATCTTTCCTTTCTGTATTGCCTTTTGAAATTTTGAAATGTCAGAACAAAAGGTTATGTAATCCAACATATCTTTCTATATTAGAACCAGTTTGCAGTTTCTCCAAAAACTACTGCAAAGTAGTTAATCTTTAGTTCTGTAAATCTAGTCTCTAACATTCAGAGTTGAAGGGTTAAATACTAGCTTAATTTGTAATAGTCATATTGATTAATTGTATGGAGTGAAATATTTTGGGTAGCTTGCAAAGGATTTAAATCTGTCCCTTAAGAAAATACTTGGTTGTTTTGGGAGTCTGTGATAGATTAATAACTTTCAAAGAATGAGAAGGAAATTGATCAGTGTTGCTGAATCAATTTGATGATGAATTATACAGTGCTTGTTATTGTGTTTGCTATCTTGTTAGTATGTTCACTAACTGACCAGTGTTCGTGTTGGTATGAATCGAATGCACTGGTATTTTACCCATGGGACTTAAAGTATTAAAAAAAAAATCAATATTGGGCCTGTCAGTGTAGCTGAATGGAACAGTGGCAGGCATTAGCTTTTAGCATTTGTAACTAGTTCAGACGAATGTGGAAACAGCTGATGGTGATTGTGTACTGTGGTCAAAGGAAATACGGGAAAATAAGGTGTAAAGATATTTTAACATGGAACATTACCATATTATATCTTTTTTATATGAATAAACAATTCTCCAAATTAATTATCTAAAATTGAAAAATACTGTATTTTGTTCAGCACGTGTTCAGATAATCATTTCTTGTCAAAATAAAATATGGCAATGAACCCAGTTTTGCCTGCTGTTCTGCTTAATGGTCGACATCCTTCCGTCATTGGAAGATGATGGAATGCTGCCGTAGTACTTTGGTGAGGTCAGATGAGATTATCTACTGCCCTTTTGACAGCTGAGCAAGGTGACTTTGGAAAAGCGAAGTCCTCACACATGAAGCTGTTCTTTGCTGCTACTCATGTCTTGTTTGCATGTTTGCTGTCAGCTTTGGAGCCTTTGAAACAAAATGTTGTGGTGGTGGCAAACACCCATTCATAGCTGCTGTTGCTATTTTCCTTGAGCATTAACAAGAGTTTCCCCACTTGTCATGATTGATATTGAGCGCTTTCATGTCCTTTTGACAGCATCTTTGAATGGGAGCAATAGGTGCACTGCAGGTCTCTTGGTATGGCCTACCTGCCTTTACAACATCTTAGAGATGCAGCCACTGTATGTTCTGTGCAAGTACCGAAGTCAGTGACACCACCTTTTATTTGATTAATGCTAGTGTGCTTAGCATGTTTGCCTTAGAAAGGACTGCTTCATTGATGACTTTGTCTTTCCATATGATGCCAAAGATACTTTGTAAAGACACTGGAGATGGAAATTATTGAACCTTTGTTATTTTGGAGGTCTAAGTTAACCATGTTTTGCTGGTGTACAGCATTGTGCTGAGGGGAAAGGCATTGAGGATTAGCTTATTGGTCCTGTCAGACAGCTGTGTTTGTTCCGAAATCTTTCCTTTCTGTAATGCCTTTAACCAAAAGTTAAAAGTTAACCAAAGTTGGTGACTATCTTTCTAATAATTTTATTGACGCATAACCAGTTTTTTGGGAAATGTTAGACTGACAAACAGTTGATGGATTACAATCTAATGATTCAAAGAGGCACTTTAGTATGATGGCATTGGTGGAAGAACTGACATCAAAAATGTGAACACATTGTAACTGGATGCATTGATTTAAAATATGCAACACTTGTAAAGTGATTAAAAAAGGGTTCCACTTTGTGTATTTGTTATGTGTTTATACTAACCACACATCATGAAATTAAACATAAAAATGGCATAGTGTTGCTATGATTATGTACAAGAATCTTGGTGCATTTCCTTTTATCTTTTTCCAACTATTAGCATCTGCAATATAATCAGTATTTTTGGTCGGCTTGTGTAAATATTCTATGGGGAATCTCCTATAATAGAGAAAAAGTTATGAATTACTAGATTTGGATCCTCTTAGGAGAATTCAGAGTACTGTTCTTTCCACATAATTATGCTGATATTGCAGATGCTTAAAATGTCCTGCTAATTTTGTTGAGGCACCAACTTCATGGTTGACACTTTTGTGGATGCATCTGTTTTCTGTACTGATTCAAAATTTGTGCATGGTGGTTTTGAGAATGGAGATAATCTTACACAGTGCTTATGCACAGTCTAGTTGAGCAATCTGCTTTAAGACATTCCACAGCTAAAATAAGGAACTACTTGTCTGTTAGAAGAAGTTTAATTTCTTAATTAATTTTTTTGAGTTCATTTTGAAACATGGGTACACTTTTTTCAGTTTGTTTTTGTGTGTAATTTGTGAATGAACAGTAAATTACCCATGATCTTGCTCATTGCTAGTTGATTTTTTTTTAATTCCACCTCGTGATAGATTGAGAAGAAAGGTTTCACCAATTTGCTTCACAGGGCAGCTGTATCTACAATCAAAGGGAATTGATTGGCTGGATAGCTGATTTAGGATGAAGACTGACACTAATAACGTGGGTTCAATTTCCACACCAGCTGTGTTTACCACGAAGTTGCTGCCTTCTCAACCTTGTCCCCTTGCCTGAGGCATGGTGACCCTCAGGTTAAACTCCCCACTAGTTATCTCTTTCTGTCTCTCTCTGAGAGAACAGCCCTGTGATCTGCTGAGATTATGGCGACCTTGCCTTTGCCTACCTAGAGTCAATGCCTACAAGTATTTTGACAGCTGATGTAGTAAAATTGAATAGGAAACTTTGACATGTAAAATTGCATGTATTAATAAAAGTGTGATCAAATATTGTGACACCATGAAGCAAGGTTTGTGTGCAGGGAATGCAAGATTTTCAATAGATTCATAATGCACATATTCTATAGATCAGCCCATATTTTAGCCTTAATCTGCTGTGCTGTAAAATTAAGAATGGGCTTGGTTTATGTAAATTATTTATTAATTTGCTTTTTAGGGAAGAGATTCTACAACGGAAACTATGGGAAAGAGTCTCTACACATGTACTAGAGAACATTTACCTTCCTGCTGCTCAATCGGAGAATTCAGGCACATTCAATACTACAGTAGACATCAAACTCAAACAATGGACTGACAAACAACTGCCTCACAAAGCAGTAGAGGTTCGAATCAGTTGGAAAGTTTGCGGTCGGTCTTATTGCGCTTTCCTACATATTAAGTTGACGTTGGTTGTTTTGATGAAACTGAAACATGACAACAAATAATATACCTTGAGAGCTGAATGAAATACATCTGGAAAGAATTTATCCTTTTGCACAATTCATGCCTGAATAAGAATATTTCATCTACAAAACATTTTAATTACCACAATCAAACATATCAACATGTGCAATGTAAAGTCAATTATTTTGACTTGTGTAATCTTCCTTTCTGTCGACTTATTTTTGTTTTCTGTCTGCCTCTTTTTGTTTTAAAAGGTCTGTTTTTGTACTCTTCATCCTTATTACTTTCCCTGCTAGCCCTGGTAACATTAAATCAAACAGGAGTATAATTTCATACCTGCTGACATCCTTGACAGTATTTCCAGCTTTTGTTTGAATCTGTCCAATTTGTATTCTCCCAGCCTAAGGGAAGGTCATGAAAATTGGAAATTATAAAGTTACTAATTAAATTTGATAAAATTTAAAAGATTGAGACTTATTTTGTATTTAAGTTTATTAATTGCAGTTTTAACATATCTGTGTATTTATCATAGATTTCTGATTTTGAGCATTTTATTTAACAATTTACAAGCGGGTCTAATATCTAATGTATTATGTGCAGTTAATGACCTGTAAGTTAAGTGTGATATAATCAATGATTTTGCTGAGATTTTAGTTTTAATAAATTTACTTGTACTAATGCATTCTTGTTTGCAGGTTGCTTGGGAAACATTGGAGGATGAGTTTGCTCGTTTTATGTCAGAACGCAAGGGGAAGGACCATGATGATATCTTTGACAAACTAAAACAAGCTGTTAAAGATGAAAGTATAAAACGTCACAAATGGAATGAGCAGGCTGAAGACAGTCTGGTACAGCAACACCTGATTTTGTAGTAATTATTGTGACTTCAAAAGGATCTCAATTAAATTGGTGTAGTTAAGGAATTTCTTAGTATTGTATTATCTATAGTTTAATTTAGCAGTTTGCATGTGTCTTAATTTTTAGCTTGTAATCCATGATTATATGAAAATATTTCTATGATATTCTTAGTGATATAAAACTAAAATGCAAAATAAGAAACAACTATTTTAGAACCTGCTGTTTTAATATTTAAAAATTTGTCTTGTTTTACATGGATACATTTTGCATTAAGAAGCTTGAATGCATTTTTAATATCAATATTAAATGTGCCACATAACTGCATTAAATATTTGCAGTCATTCAGGATGTAAATATGCCTAATTGTATTTTGAATTGAGGATGAGACCCTACTTGGTCGATCAGTGTCTTGAGTAGGAAAGTTGCACTGGCAAATACCAATTTGACTTACATTTAAGTAAGATGGTCCACATTGGTGAGTTTTCTTGATACTTAATTGAGCTGCTAGAAATTACTATAACTTAGGAGTCAGTTAAGAAAACATTTTCCTTGTCAGTCTGTGGAGAAGGATGATATTGAGTTGGGAAATCTAAGTCGGTTTGTGCGCAAGTTAGACCAGTATTTAAAGCAATATCAAATAGGTGTTTGTAAGTACAGGAGATGTTCGTATACTGAATCTTTCAAATTACACCCCTGAATGGGATCACGTTCACGAGTACAAGCATTCGTAAGTTGGACATTCATAAATTGGTGTCCCCCTGTATCTTGAAAGTATAAACTTACTGAAAATGTGGATTGGCTTTTGATTCCTTGACCCTTACTTAATTATTGTCTTTGTGTTTTTGTAGCGAGTCATCCAGCACAATGCTTTAGAAGATCGTTCTATATCTGACAAACAGCAATGGGATGCAGCAATCCATTTCCTGGAAGAAACATTACAAGCCCGTCTTCGAGACAGTATGTTTCGAAAATTTCATGTGATTTCAGTTTCTTAGTTAGTAATTATTTCATTGTCTTAAAGTAGGCTGTACTTTTTCATGATTAACATGAACATCTAAAATGCATCAAAAAATTAAGGAAGACGGCATTATCAACACATTGCTTTGCTCTCTGATCCTATATGAGTACAAATGTCAAAGTACATTAGGTGGCATTTCTGATTGTCCATATATCCAATTTAACTCAAATTTTCTGCAAACAAATAGGCCTTCTAATTCAACGTTGGTTGTGTGCAAAAACAAAGGATTTTAAAATGTTAAACAACTTTACTGGTGTTCTGATGTCTGGCTTCTGCCTGGAGATCCTCTACATCCTATTTCTTAACTCTTCCACCTAAAAGGATTCTGTCTTAATACAATATCTCAGGCATATACTTGCTTGTGGTGTTGTAACAAAATGCTTTGCCAATACTGTTCTTCCCCCCAGGGCCCCACCCCTGCCCAGTAAAAAACACAAATGCGCACACTTTTTTTATTTACTCTTTATTTCTTCTGAAATTTTTATGAATCAACAATGATAAGCTCCCAGTCCTTTCCACTGAAGCTGGGAGTAACATTATGGTATGCTCCATAATGTTTCTGACTCTGCAGTTTTGATTTTGCATTCCACTCAGATCTGAATCCATTTTATTGACATGTTGACCTTTATCTTTATCATGGTTTTCTCTCATAATACTCACTATATTGTAATCTGTTCCTTTCCATTTCTGTCTCTATTTCAGCAAAGTTCCTTACTTTTATGCTGATTGGTTCCTTAATTCTACTCTGCATATTCAAAACTGTTCACAAGATTGATTTAAATCTTTCGTCACCACATTGCTTACCCTATAGACAAGAATGTTGAACTTTTTGTATTTAATTGATGACCATTACTTCATTACAGCCTTTCCTTGTTCCAAAGCTTGCTCTTCTGTTGAAAGAATGTGAATAATTTCTTCCTTCGACAAGCCTGACTTCCTGTTTTCTTATGAGCTTAGAATAGCATCTAAACAGCAAATAAAAAGAACATGATTGCCTTCATTCTTTGTCAATAAAAGACCAATGCAAAACTGACTACACAACTTAGTCTTTTGATATGTCTTCTAAAACCATTAAGCTATTAATGTTACAGCAATTGTAAAACTGGAAATTAAGGAAAATTGATCAATGAAACCGCAAGAAAATCAATCTGGTGAAGTAGCTGTGAGATCTTCTCTTGAGA